TATACTTTTATACTATCTACTTCTCTCCATTTTTGTCAAAATACCCTTTTCTGTTCTTCCTTTTTTCCTTCAAAGATTGTTTAAAAGAAAGCTAATAAAGCATTAAACTATTAGAAATGTTCCTAGGCATCCCTGTTACTTAGAGTTAAAGGGAGAAAGCTAGCATCAGCTAGTAGAATTTGTGCAATTTTGGCAACTGAGTTTTTAATTAAGATTCAAGGATGTTTGATAAGTGATTGTAATATACATATAATGAGGAACATAAAAAAAAACAAGTCAACAAACTGCCTTCTCTCTAACCCAAAGTCTTTGCTCAAAGTGCTTTTCTTTACAGTCCTCCAACGTTTTATGAAATTAGGCAGCATAGGCTCGTTGGCATAGACTGGTTATGCCATCTATGCCTAAATCCACTGCTTTCTGTCTTTGCAAAAATCCACATCAGACATGACATCTGCACGTGTCTTATTTGGTTGACAAATATTTTATTTGAAATGTGACTGACTGCTCATAGCAGAGGCCAACTATCTTTTGTCACCTGCTGCTGCAGGGTTGGAAGGAAGCATGTTGTTCCCCAGTTCCATGAGGAAAGTGCATGAATAGGTCTTGCATTTTATTTAGTCACTCACTAGCTACTTTTTCAATTACTAATGAAATAATTCAATACACAGAAACAGCAGCCAATACCAACACAATATTTGGGTTGAAGGTCTTTTGGGATCTAACATTTCTATGTAGACTTCCTGTATACTTTTGGTCCTCTGTCACTCGGATTTCTAAAGCTCACTGTACTTGTACTTACCCAAATTCTCCCAAGTGGAGAATTTACCTTTTTATTTGTGGGTAGTCCTTGGTTGAATAATTAAGGTTAAAAGCATTGCCTTACTTTTTTTAGATTGTCAGTCCAGTTTGAAAAAATGAAGGCTAATCTGTCATGTTACAGTATGGATTTTGAGTCTGTCATTGAAAGATACATATATACATTTAGAATAATGGTTTGATGCCAAAGACTAAAAGAAAAATTAAAAAAAAATTTTTTTATCACCATGCATAACTAGTTTGTTTACAACACATGCACTTTTTGAAGGGGTAGATAAATATTYTAATCCTTTCCCTACAGAATGTGGGTCAATCCAATCCTATGTATGCCATTGACTTATAGGAAACATTTCTCTAATTATAAGACCACACCCAATACTCCTAAAAGTGGATGGGCGTGGAAATGCAATACTTAAGTTTCCAAAGAAGTAGAGATGTCTGTCACAGATAGCATCTCTCTCCTGACCCTTTATTTAAGAAGTCGTCTTGTTACTGTCCACTTAATAGCTGGGAGAGGGCATCTGGAGACAGTCTGGAGCTTCCCAAAGACACAGTAGGTGTGCATATGGGCTTGTGTGCTCTGAGGAGAAGGGAGGAACGAGGGAGGGAGGGCTGGGAGAGAGGGAGAGAGTGGCAGGAGATGGTTGTGAATGTGTGTGTACATCAGGGGACTTGGTGGGAAAGCCTAGCCCTTGTACTCAATTTCCCCTTYACCGGGGATAAACAGGCAATTACGCATCCTTTTATATTTGATGGCCAAGTGCTGAAGTGGAAAGCACACTATTAGTTTGTGTCCCTTCAGGGCCAGGGCAATAAGTAGCCAGGAGAGCTGGGGCTGAAGCAGAGAGGGTGTTGTCTGCTGTTAGTGTGACAGTCTTGTCAGCAGCATTCACATTACTGGAAGGTAATAAAGTGACAAGTAAGTTATTAGAAAGATATGAGGTGAAATTGAACTGAAGCTTCTCCCTGCTCAGCCCTGGCTTCTTCCTTTCCTCTTTTGTAATGGTCCACTATTTGTTACAAACTGAGCCTTGTCCTGATACCCGATATAAAAAAGATTTTTTTTTTCCTTGCAGTAAAGGTCAAATGAATTTACAACAACACTTTGGAGAAGAAGAAAGATAGTTTTACGACAACTATAGTGTGTTGCTTCAAAAATATATATAGCATTATAATGAATAATAATGCTGATCCAATTCAGTGTACTTGTAAAATTGCTTAGTTTTTTTTTAAAACCCTGTTATTAGGCATTTGGATTTTTCAACAAATGCCCAAAAGATAGTATTTGACATCCAGTTATTGCAAAATGACTGTAAAAAAGCATTTTGTGCAAAATGTGGGAAGAACGAGATGATCAAAGAACCCGAGGGAAGATATGTATTGGGGCAAAAGTGAGGGTCAGTTTTACAGATGGATTTACATGAATAATGCTCTTTGACAACTATCATTACAGTGAGCAACTTTCCAACTTCAAGGAAATGCTGAAATGAGTCTGGGACAGATAAAATATGGTCCTAACAGTAACATAAGTAAGCATAGTTTAGCTCTGAGGGAAAACAAAAACAGAGGCTACTTATATTCCTGGTAGGACAGTGAGTGAGCTCCTGTTTTGATCAAATGATCATCAGCCAACTGGTGTTCAAACCACAGCTTTGTGCATTGCTATAGTGGCAAGAAAAAGTAGTGATGAGGGAAGATTCGCACTGGCACCACTCAAACCTACTGTTCCTCTCATTATGATGAGAAATAGGTCTCACCACTAGTCTTTTTTAGAACCTAGGTGACTGCTTGAATCTTTTTACTCCCCAAGGGACTCTAGCATTACTTCCAACCCAAAACAATTCACAAGTAAACCCAAATCCCCCAGTTGCCCTTGTTGGCTTCCATGACCCCTAAAGAACTTTCCTAGCCCACACAGCTGCCCTTGCTATCCTCATTCCCTTCCCCAGATGTGGTCAGTGACTCACCTGCTACAGACCATGGCATCTATAATATTGTCACCCACTGCTAGGTACAGCTGTACCAGACTTTCCGCTTACACATTTCCAGTGCAGTAACTATTTTCTTTTCCACCTACCCCAAACTAGAGCAGGTCTCAACCCTCTACTTCATCTAACTTACTTTTTGATGGAAAACAGTGATGCCTCCAGTCTTTTTGGCATGTGCCTTTTACACACCCTCCTTACTCATTTAGATCCCTCCTGTTAAAAACGAAGAATGAAAGGGAAAAGCAAGACCCCCTAAGACATTCCAAGTTCAAGGGAAGGTGATTTTAAAAAAATAATAAGATCTAACTTTGAAGAGCTCTTGGGAAAAGGGTGTGCTCACGATGAGAGCGAATCCCCTAGTGACTCCTGATGGCAGGTGTAGTGTGTCTTGTGACAGTAGATTCTATTTATTATTAGTCAATCTAACCCGATGCAGCAGACCAGACACAAGTTAGGACTGCTCGGGTCAAGCTGTTAGCAGCAGCAATGTGTCCATCTCAATCTGTTTACTAGCTTCTTTATATTGTCATTACCGAGCGCCCCTGGTCTCATTTGCTGGGCACACATCTAGACGTGAACAAAGGAAGTGGGGGAGAAAGGTCACACTTTATTTGGTGGGAAATCAGTTGCAGCTTCTTCTGAGGAAGATGAGGAAGGGTACCTCTGGGCCAGCCCATTCTCCACATTGTCAGAGTTTCCCTGGAGGGCAGGGGAACAATATATACATAAACACAGGTTAACCAGTTAAGCACCTTCTTCCTCTTACTGGAAGGACCGGGAAATTCATGACCAACGAAATCACACTGCAAGGACAGTGGCACCACTGTGCTAAAACAATGTTTGTTTGTTTGTTTTTAAAATGCTTGTCATATTGAAAAGCAAAATATTTACTCCATCCAACCTTAAAAAAGCCATCAGACTGAACAGGGCATCTGAGTGAGACCTGAAATGAGTACATCTGGTTGACTTATTTAACTAGCATGACTGTCAGAACTAAGATGATCAAGCTTTGTATCACATTTTAAAAACCAAATTACTTATTATCTATCCCTTTTCTTCTTCTCTCTTTCTTCCCCCTCCACAGCATGCAGATATTCCCAAAGTGGACCAAGTCTTTCTTGTATTTACAAAAAACATAGTTTAAAATGATAAAAACAGTAAGTTTCAACATCGGCTAGAGAGCATGCACAATAATACTGCCTTAATTTTGTACCTGTGACAAAACTCTGGCTAACATCAACCAAAAGCTGCTTGGATGAAAATGTCTATTTCTATTAATTTTCAGCCGGCATAAAATGGATGTAGCAAGAGAGAAACTGTTTAACAAGAAACTCCCATGAAAAAAAAGTGGTAGGAATGGGCAAAGAGGAAGAGCTCAATGATTAAAACGCTGATCTCTTTATCCCTCCCATTTGCACATAAGCCTCGGGACCACCACCTTAAGTAGAATTGCAATTCAGTCACAACCCTGCACCCAGGCATACCCAGGAACAAGCCACACGTGGGACTAYAGTAATTGTACACTTTAGATTTTACAATTTTATGCACAACATCCATCCACTCCCCTTATCCTTTACAAGCAAACAAGCTTTATATTGGAAAATGCTATTTACTTGTGTTGAAGGCCGCCATAACAATTGGGCATTCGAGGCACAATAGTAGCAGCAAATAGGGGAGATACTTAAAAAGTGCCAGCTGCCCCAGGACTTACTGCCATTTCTCTGACAAAGAAAAAAAAAAGGTGAACACATTCATGTCAAGTAAGGGAAATTATACTTCTAGAATCACATTACTTTTTACGAACTGGCTATAGCCATTCACCTGGTTTGTGGGAAGCAACATAAAGTTGTTCTCAGCCTGATCCATTTGGTGACATGACCTCCAGACAGCTATGTAATTCACTCACTAGGGCTATCTGACTTTTTACTTGACATTAAACTAAACAGACTAAAGGCTGACTTTGTACAGATGAGTTCTAATATCTCAACAAAGACTGTAACTTTTTAAAAAGTTGCTGAAATTCAAAGGTGTATTAATTTCCATGAAAACAGGTATAATTTCGTCTATGCACTCCAAAAGCCAGAGTTGCCATAATCTTTTTTTGGGATTCTAAAAATATTTKCCACCCATGTTGAATCTAGTCATTCAGTAATGGGGCAACAACGCAATACACAGAATGCTAAGAGGACCAAAATGTTTGCAAACAAACGTTCATTATTCTGGTTCAATCTTTAACAAACATACTGTACAGAGTCTTATAAGGTATAAAACAAAGGAAAACATCTCTGTCTATTCAATTTAACACAACACCAAAATAAAGCAATTAAGACTTTGGGGAATTCAAAGGTACAAGAAAACAAAAACGGTTATTACTAATTCCTCAGCTTTTTACCGTAAACATTTGTCATTTAACAGACATAGTGTTTGATATAGTTTCTTTTGTACTGCAAATACTTTTGGTCTTTCCTCACTGTAGAACAAATGAAGAATCAAACGAACCCCATAGCATCCTCCCTAGCATCCTCAGAAGGAGGCAAAAAGATAAAGCTCCTAGATATATCTAGCTTATCTTTAAGAATCTATTGTTTCTGAAATTTTCACAAATAAAAATACTGAATCCCCAACAAATGGTGCTTATTTTTGGAAACAATAAATACTGTGAGGTACAATAAATCCTACAGGAATAATAATAACAGAAACTTATTAACAGTTTCCTTTGGCAAATTTAACGGAAGTGAATGCTGATGTGAACACAGAAAAAAATAATTACAGAACATAGGAAAAATGGAAATGACATGAAACATTGAAACGAAGGGTATTTCTAACTTTTAGACAGATGGGAGAAATGTTTGAGGCCATTAAATGCAAAATAAGAAATACATTCTCTTTATATTGTGTATTGTTTGACAAACTATTCCTTGTTTAATGTCACCCCCTCCCCATTTAAAAGAAAGAAAGAAAGAAAAAAAAAAAAGACAACAGTCTGCAGTCCACACTCTTAATAGTTTTGGCTGCGGACTGAACTTGAGTAAATATCATCATTTAGTCAGTATGTTGTGGTAGCTCAGGCTGCCGTTGTGGTTAACCAGCTCAGGCAACATGTGTAAACATCGGAAACAGAACAAAACAAAACAAAACAAAACAAAAGTTTGGAGCAGACCCCCTCCCCCCCACCCCCACTCTCTATTGCTTGGTTTCAGGCTTGCTTTCATTTTCTCTGACAAATTTGTGTGGGGAAACAAAACACTACACAGTGAGATCCTATCTCAACCCCCCTTCCTCTGCCTTTGGGAAGGAGTGTTGCTCAATTCAAGTTTAGCATGTGTTCTCAGAGCTTCCAAGTACTGYTGCTGTTAAACAGCCTTTGATTTTGTCTATCAAACAGGCCTGAATCGTAGCACTACTGCAGAATTTGCCACAAATGAGACGGCCATACAACAGACCAATCCAGTTTAGACTGACTTTCTTTAAAAAGGATAAGGGTTAGGGCCTTGGAAAGGAGTGTTCAACTCTATTACTGCATTCAGCTTTGTTCCATAGTGAGTAATTTGGGCTTTTGTATCCTGAAATATTATCCTGCCTCTAAAGAAAAAATGCCTTGGCTGATTCACACCACATAATTTTGTTTTCCTTTTATGTAATTTAACATATAAGCAAGAAGGATGCAATGTTGATTCTAATAACATTCAGCACTTGAAAGAATCACCAAGTGTTTTTTTTCAAAGCAGTTTTCTGGTGGCCAACAAATTGGCCTGTGGTTATGTTGAGTGACTAATTGTATTTTCTTTTCTGGAAACTTGTGCAAAGTTGGCAGTTTTGTGTTAACACTAATACTTTTGTTTGGCATTTGTGCCCTATACTGACCAGACCATTTTTATACAAGTGGATTTTTTAAAAAAGACACTTACTGAAGTATGGCAATAGTTTAAAGTTTAAAAAAAAAAAGAAGCCTGGATATTACACATCCCCTTGTAGTGTATGATAAAAAGTGCATGACTGGATTTACGTACTAGTACAGGACATTTTAAAAAATCAGATCTGTGCTGTAAAGCATGCCAGCACCTCTTTATCACTATATCTAACAGGTAGTAAAAACAAGACCATGTTTTTTTTAAAAAAATGTGCATTAATGCTAACATAAATGAATAGAGCTAGCCAGCAAACTATTTTTCTCCTGCATATCTAACAGCTGGATGTAACTGTAAAAATTAAACAAAAGAGTTAAACGACCATCAATACAATTGTTTTACATCATTGGCCTCTCAAGGCTAAATATTTACAGGTGAATCTGCCATGCTTTAATTGAAGATTCTCTCAAAACCTTAAAGTTCACAAAAGACAACTATAAGAAGTTCCTTTTTGTTTCTTTTTTCTTTTTTCCCTTTTATTTTTTTTGCAGGCAACAGTCATGGGTACAACAAATTGTCTCTTTGGAGAAGACCAAAAATTATTCTATCAAAATTGGGGCTAGTTGCACGCTGTGTGTGTGTGTGTGTGTGTGTGTGTGTGTGTGTGTGTGTGTGTTTAAAGGGGCACTCTGTTTTCACCCCCGAATTAAAGATCCCATCCCTTTCCAAAAACTATAAAGGAAAAAGAAAAAAATTCAAAAGCACCTAGTGTTTATCTTTTTATCTAAAGAAAAGAAAATGTGCATATGTGTGTGTATGTAGACACAGAGGCATACACATGTGCACACACATATACACCCCCGCCACGTAGGTAAGCGCACACTGACTATGGCAGTTCAAAGATGTAGGCCATCTGGTGAGAGCTGGCATTTGTAGTGTCCGTTCTGGGACTAATCTATTGAAGTGAAGGGAATGTTTTTGTGGAGATTAGGGTTCTGACTGTGCCGGTTTCGGCTTCGCACAGAGGAAAACATCATATTGCAACCAGGGACTTTGCACTTGTGCATCTCTCGCAAATGCACAGTTTTGTAGTGCACCCTCAGTGTCCCCTTGTTGCTGTACATTTTGTGGCAAATGTTGCACATGATCCCACCATTGCTCCCAGACAAGCTGCTGAACATAAGAGATCCTGAAACTTCAGCCCCTAGACTCCCAGGGAGGGTGGGGGCCTCAGCCTTGTGTGCAGACTCCCCACTGTCACTCGCCCCATCAATGTCGTCGAGAAGAATCCCCTCATCGCTGCCTGCATCGGATTCTCTGGAGGAATGGATGCTGCTGCTGGACTGGAGGCTAGAGGTGGTGCTCAGATCAAGGACCATGTAGTCCTCGGCCATGCCTCTCCCATACCCGTTCAGGTGGGAGTCTTCAGTCCCAGCGGGAGAGGAGGCATCTTCCCTGACATCGAGCCCCAAGGGGTGCTGGGCACCATAGATCTTCACTAAAAATTCATCCCGGAGGTCCTTGCTAAGGGAAGGCTGCGACGAGTCCAGGCCCATGTCATCGAGTTCTTTGGTCAACAGTTTACGATGCAGATTTATGTTGGCACTGTGTCTAGGAAAACAAGAGGGAAGGGGGGTAGGTATACAGGGAGCGGGGAGGGTGAGAAAAGGGAGAGCACTTTAAAATAAATTCAGCTTTCACAAGGCATCAAATAAGCACATTCATTCCTAATTACACCATTATAAAAGCAGGCATTTCCCTACATCCTCGGGATTGGGAGTAAGTGGCGGTGGTGGGAGGTGCAATAAGGGTAACTTTCCATTAACGTAATTTTCATGAGAGAGTAAAATTCTTAAATGGTAGGATGAATGCAAACCCATGCACCCTTTTCTAATGATTGTTCTGATACTGTTAATATGTGGCAGCATCAGCTGCAGAGGACCTCACTGCAGAACTTTTAGGAAATATACATTTAAGTAGGATTAGAGAAGGAAACTTTGTGCTTGTCTAAGTGGAAAAGTTTAAATTTACCTAACAAAACAAAATAAAAAGCCCCCTGCTCTTTCTTAATACAGAAAACTCTCCATTTAGAGATATTAAAAAGCACATTTCTTAAAGTAAAATGGTCTAGATAATTTAGGTTTAACTTCAAAAAATAATGAAATCCTGCCCCCCACCAACTGGGAATTGAGTCAGTGTCTTGGGCATTCTAAGAAAGCGCTTCACCACTGAGCTACATCCCCAGCCCTTTTAACAGTTTTATTGTGAGACAGAGTCTTGCAAAGGTTGCCCAAGCTGGCATCAAATTTGCAACCCTCCTGCCTCGGCCTCCTGAGTAGCTGGATTACAGGCTTGTGCCAAAATACCCAGCCATTCAAATTTTAAATAAGAAAAAATATGGCCCAATAGATTAGTAATTTGAAGTAGACTGTCTTTAGTAACATAAGTCCCTTTTCTCCAATGATCAGGGATCCAGGTTAAATGTAAAGACAGAATGTGCTTGGAAACTGCTACATTTAGKGCTGAATGTTTTTATCAAATAATTCTACTTTAAACTTTAAACTTTTAAAATGAACTATTTTTAAAAATACAACCCACCCACCCTTTAAAAGAAATCACACTAAACAAGAGAAAAAAAAACCCAAAAGGACAAAATTAAAACACAATAAGTACAAAAAAATTATCAAGCACAACAAGAACATAAAATCCCTCTATTTCAACTGGATCCCAGGCTATTTAGACAAGCAAAACTTTTACTCCATTCACTGAGTGTTTTGCTTGTGTAAAAAAAGATAAGATTTGTCCCAAAGCATCCAGAGGGACATCATGATTTACAAAGTCTGATACATTATTATCTCTCTGAAAACAATGCCTTTGTATTTACATCCCCCATTTATTTTTAAAGTGCCCTTGGGCATATACCTCTCTCCACCTGCAAAGGCTCAGATGTTTGACAAATACCTAAATTGAACACTACCCTTCCAAAAATAAACTGATAAACAGGCAAATAAGGCTTCTCAATGCTGGTGGAAGCTCTACTTCATGGAGAAGTCATCATGAAAATAGAAATGGCCTAAATGGCCAGCATACAGTTCAAAAGACCCTCTGGTTATAATTAAAAAGTATGGACGATCAAAAGAAGTCACTCCATTTGGTGACAGGCATGGCTGACATTTCTGAGATGGTTGAGAGGTATGTGCCACAGAGACAAGAAAGGTGGGACAGCCCTTCTCCACCCTTCCACACAAGACAATATATAGCACTTGGATTTAAGGGCAGAGGGGCAGCAGCCCTCTCCACACTGCACTTGGGAAGGCTGAGCTTACCTTGTGATAATAAGATCAGCTTTCTAATCTTTTGCTAAATCGATCACAAAAGAAAGCAAGAATGAGAGAGAGAGAGAGAGAGAGAGAGAGAGAGAGAGAGAGAGAGAGAAAGAGGGAGAAAGAGAGAGAGAGAAAACAAATTCACATTCTAGACATCTGGTTTTAAAAAAAACTTAAACAATAAAATAGGGATTTAAAATGTTCTGATCACAACATTATTTTCTGTCATAAGCGATCATCTCATACGCTGTCTTGATGATTTTCAGATCAGCTGCATAATCCAAAAATCATAAATCAAATTAAGATAAACCAAATTCACAGCATCATCATCATCATCATCCATAAATGAGTTCCGAACAGATGCATGCAGTGTGGGTATGTGAATGATAAACAGAAGTTGTCCCCACGGTCCCAGCTCTGACACAGTCCTCCCTGTTTCCTTGGTGTCAGATGGCAGATGACTCCAAGTGCAGATGCTAAGCAGAGTGCAGGAAATGCCTACTGTGAAGTCTTTACTGTGACATGTGGGTAGGGCACCACCAGGATTATAACAAGAATGTGGGACCAGAGTTACACTGTGCACTATTATTCTACTGATCCTGCAATCTGCCAACTATAAACAGCTCGTGTATTCCTACCCCCTCCCCATTTATTACTGTTAACACCCTCTGCCTTTCTTAATTTCACAAACACACATTTTGTGATGACTGTAATCTAGAACTCTGTGTTGTTTCTCACACATCTGCAGTTACCACTTCCTAGGTTCACTGCTGAGAAAACAGCAGCCAGACACACAGCAGTCACATGGAGACACACTGAATGAGGAAGAATAAATTAACATTGACAAAGGACACACTGATCACCCAGATGGACACCTCTTTCCTAAGATGACTTGTGAAATGACACATCTCCACCGCTATGTTACCAGGAAGAGATTTTCTCTTCATTTCTCACTTATAGCAGTAGAAATCTGTAATCTAATTAGATGATGTACCAGCCCTCAATATCTGTCAACCAAACGATGTGCAGAAATGTGTGGACCAGCTCTGGCACTCTGCTCAACAGTGTCCCTTTTCCGCTGTCAGCAGTACTGTTGGCCTCTGCTAATATAATTACATTGACTTTTATTCAATTAAGTGCCATCCCTCGCTTAGAAAAAAAAAAGCTACTTTATCAATTGATTCAGGTGTAATGCAATAATAAAGATGAACTCATGGCAGTGCATTAGCTCTCCTGTTCATAACTTCAGTACACGGGTTCATTCATGGAAGTCGATTTCCATTATGCAACCACAGTTCAAGAGAATTGATTCTTTTATGTTCATTTCTTAATCTATTTCATTTTTGTTTAATAATCCTCCTAAATGCCATATGCAAAACACTTGAAGTGGGGATGGGAAGAGCAGGCTGTGGAAAGCCGGCTGGCTCACTCTCAGGATAGTGGGCCTGGGGATTCTCTAACAAACTCACATAGTACTACTGGAGTGGGGAAAAGGGCAGCCAGGCAAGGAGGGAAAGAGGAGGGTGCTGATCCCTCAACAGGTTAGGATCCGGCCTCCACAGCAAAATGGACAGAAGGAAGGCAGCACTTGACTTTAACACAGACCTATTGTTGGGACTCTCCAGTCAGTCAATCCAAACCATTTAACAGTCATAAAATACTGTCCTCAGGAGACCCAAAGACCCAGGGTTAATAGCAATTTGAAGAATATTACCAGTTCATTTGGATCAGCAAAACTGCAGAGGTAAAAAGAAAGGGAAGATGAAAGGAATACAGAAAGAACTCTCACCTACCCACAACCAGATGTAGCCAGAAGGGTATCCTACAGGGGAAGAGGGGCAGAGGGTGCTGGGATCAGGGAAGTGTTGGACATGACAACTGGAAAAAGAAATCCATGAAGCAAGCCATTCTGAGTTCTCTAGGGAGAGAGACTTTTTTTTCTACAAATAAATTTAGCATCCTGAATATTTATCTTCAGCAAAGAAGGAGGAATAAGCATCAACAAAAATCTAGACCRAGTTAGAACTTCTTGTATTTTATAAGAATGTGAACAGTATAAAAGCTGTTTCTATTTGCTCTGATTAGGTAGATGACACAGATAAATGGAAGCAAATTCCTCTGGAGGGGGAAAACAAAAGGTTGAGGTGGAGAGAGAAAATGAGTGCATAGGTATAAAGCGTAAAGATTGACAGGACAGTCCAAAATTTAGCCCCAAGAAGGTTACTTTCAAGAATCAGAACTAAGTCAAATCAACCTCGACAGTCCTGAAGATCAAGTAGAAAATTCTGCACGTCCAATATATTTAAAAGCACCTTTATTTGTCTTTAATTCATAAAAGGCATAAGTCTTAAAGAAGCTTTTCCCAGAAAGTGCCCCAGGAGGGAAGAAGACAACAATCTCAAGGAGAAGCATGGTACAGGGAATTTAAGAAAATACAGTGGTGACAAGGCAAAGGTTAATTCTGGGGCTACTAACACCCCAGTGTGGTACAGAGGAGGCTACACAATTAGGGCAAGAAAAAGCCCTCTAACTTGGGCTCTGCTGAATTTTGTATTCTTTCTACACTGTGAGTTTACCAAAAGCCTCAATAGAAGTTAAGATCACAAAAAAAGCAAAAAAGTAATAAAGTTTTGAATTRGGTGGGAAGGCGTCAAAACCCAAACTTCTTTTTTTCTCATTTGACATGCTGAGTGAAAGTCCTTTAACTGGACTGCAGTGAATTACCAGTCTTTTTTTTTTTTTTAATTGTTTGTTTGCTTCTCTGATGAAAACCTTACCATGCAACCACAGAAAGCATGAGATTCATCAAATGTAGTCAAGTAAATGCAAGAGAGGGAAAGTAAGTACCAGTTTTGGACTTCTCTTGGGTCTCTTTTTATCCACTTATTCAAAGGCCTAGTTTGACTTAGTGCAATGTTTCATAAAAACTAAAATTAAAAACAAGAGCAGTGTATTTAAACAAAAAGTGTTTTGAGTTTTTAAATTTGTCTTTGAGATACAGGAAGAGAACTGGGTTTTGTTTTCAAAGTCTCGTTAAGAAATTAGACTGTGGCAGTCAGAAATGGAATAGTGAATCAAGCTATAGCTTAATGAAATGTCCAACACTTAACTCTTAATTCAGTTTTGAGCCACTCTAAACTTAGTGAATTGAAATAAAACACTTGGTAATTAATTATAAGACCTTGGGTAAAATGGAATTGAGGTTCCACTTTGGATCAGATTTTGCCTTTATTTTCCTGCTTGACTCTAACATTCAACACACACACACACACACACACACACACA